TACAATTACCCATTCAGGGGCAGCAACCCAACAACGTGTTGCCTGATTGGTCTGAAAATTTCAGGGCAGATAGATCTTGACCTAATGAACAATTTTATCATCATCAGATTTGCTCTAAATGCTTTGGTTTCAGAGATATGAGCCAAAAACTGCATTTTACCCCATGTACTATTTTTAGCTCACCTGGCCCAAAGGGCCAATTGAGCTTTTCTCATCACTTGGCGTCCGTCGTCCGTCGTTGTTGTCGTCGTCGTCCGTTGTCGTTAACTTTTACAAAAATCTTCTCCTCTTAAACTACTTGGTCAAATTAAACCAAACTTGGCCACAATCATCATTGGGGTATCTAGTTTAAAAAATGTGTCTGGTGACCCGGCCAACCAACCAAGATGGCTGCCATGGCTAAAAATAGAACATAGGGGTAAAAATGTAGATTTTGGCTTATATCTCTGAAACCAAAGCATTTAGAGCAAATCTGACAGGGGTAAAATTGTTTATCAGGTCAAGATCTATCTGCCCTGAAATTTTCAGATGAATCGGACAACCCGTTGTTGGGTTGCTGTCCCAGAATTGGTAATTTTAAGGAAATTTTGCTGTTTTTGGTTATTATCTTGAATATGATAATAGATAGAGATAAACTGTAACCAGCAATAATGTTCAGCAAAGTAAGATCTACAAATAAGTCAACTTGACCAAAATGGTCAGTTGACCCCTTAAGGAGCTATTGCCCTTTATAGTCAATTTTTAACCATTTTTCGTAAATTTTTGTAATCTTTTACAAAAATCTTCTCCTCTGAAACTACTAAGACAAATTTAACCAAACTTGTTCACAATCATCATTAGGGTATATAGTTTAAAAAATGTGTCCGATGACCCCGTCCGCGAACAAAGATGGCCAACATGGTTAAAAAAATAGTACATAGGGTAAAATGCAGTTTTTGGCTCATATCTCTGAAACCAAAGCATTTAGAGCAAATCTGACAGGATAAAATTGTTCATTTTGTCAAGATGTATCTGCCCTGAAATTTTCAGACCAATCAGGCAACAAGTTGTTGGGTTGCTGCCCCTGAATTGTTAAATTTAAGAAAATTTTGCAGCTTTTGGTTATTATCTTGAATATTATTATAGATAGAGATAAACAGTAAACAGCAATAATGTACAGCAACGTAAGATCTACAAATAAGTCAAACGAGACCAAAATTGTCAATTGACCCCTTAAGGAGTTATTTCCCTTTATAGTCAATTTTTTACAATTTTCATAAATTTTGTAAATTTTTGTAAATTTTTACAAAATATTTTCCACTGTAACTACTGGGCCAAGTTCATTATAGATAGAGATAATTGTAAGCAGCAAGAATGTTCAGGGTCATCAGACACATTTTTTAAACTAGATATTCTTATGATGATTGTGGACAAGTTTGGTTAAATTTGTCTTAGTAGTTTCAGAGGAGAAGATTTTTGTAAAAGATTACAAAAATTTACGAAAAATGGTTAAAAATTGACTATAAAGGGCAATAACTCCTTAAGAGGTCAACTGACCATTTTGGTCAAGTTGACTTATTTGTAGATCTTACTTTGCCGAACATTATTGCTGTTTACAGTTTATCTCTATCTATAATAATATTCAAGATAATAACCAAAAATGGCAAAAAAATTCCTTAAAATTACCAACTCAGGGGCAGCAACCCAACAACGGGTTGTCAGATTCATCTGAAAATTTCTAGGCAGATAGATCTTGACCTGATAAACAATTTTACATCATGTCAGATTTGCTCTAAATGCTTTGGTTTCAGAGATATAAGCCAAAATCTACATTTTACCCCTATGATCTATTTTTAGCTATGGCGGCCATCCTGGTTGGTTGGCCGGGTCACCAGACACATTTTTTAAACTAGATACCCCAATGATGATTGTGGCCAAGTTTGGTTAAATTTGGCCAAGTAGTTTAAGAGGAGAAGATTTTTGTAAAAGTTAACGACGACGGACGCCAAGTGATGAGAAAAGCTCACTTGGCCCTTTGGTCCAGGTGAGCTAAAAATGTTACAAACTAGATACAAAACTCGATACAATTATTTTCCCTTAGCGTTTTTCATCTTCTCACAATCCTTCACAACGTGATCATTCAAATTGCAGAAGAAACAATTTCCTCTTGGCCTCCACTGGCCATTTCTTGGGCTAAATCTTCTAGGGCCTTGGTACATACTAGTACTAAAGGGAAACATTCCCTGCTGCCATCCAGTGGGCATATGAGGTATGAAATAGTTGGGCATACAGGTAGCAAGGGGGTAAGCATTAGCCAACGGAGAAGTGGTTTTCATTGTAGTAAAATTTTCCATTCCCTGTGATCTTTTGTTCCTCTTCCTTCTCCTTGAGACATTTTGCCATTGCTTTTCCCACTAAATCAGAAGCTTTCCCCCCTAGAACATTCAACATTAGAGTGGCAACATTTATCGACCCCTGATGTCTCTGCGCTTGTCGCGCTAATTCATCGAATGTTTCTGCATCATCATCGTTTTGCCTTCTGGCCTTTTTTGCCAATTTATCAAGACTAAGGAGAATTAGAGGCTCGCTGGGGTTTGCCTGTAAAGCTAAACTCCTCACCTTATCTTTCAACTCTTTAACGTTATCTTCTTTTGACTTTTCTAGATCTGCTACTCTTTGCAGAAGATCATGATTCTTCTTTTTCTATTTAGGAGGAAGGTCTCCATCTCCCGAATCCTACAATCAATTATAATCTGTATTTAATGTCCCATTAAAACATTAATTACTATCATTTTCATTTAAAAAATATATTAAGCGTGCTTAATCATAATAAACCTTAGGGGGAAAAGTCATAAATGTTATAACATGAAAAACAAAACCGGGAATGTAACCTTGAAAAAACATCGAAATTACATCTGTTTTATTTTATGCACACGTACATAACTGTAGAACGAAAACAACAGATAAATCTAAAGGGGGGGGGGGGGGGGCGCGGGGGGGGGGGGGGGGGGGCGGCTTCACGTGTAAGCAAATTTTTAGCTGATAAAGGAGGTCACTAACCGGAGACGCTCTACAAGGTCGTACTATCGAAGAAGGTTTCTACTAAACTCTAGATAAAATATATATATTTACCTCGTTTTCTACATGACGCAGGTCCTCCACCACCGGTTGCCCTATCTCATTAGCTAGGATGACCGTTACATGTAGGAGTTTCTTCAAGTTATCCCGTTAACAGGTGCAGCCGCAAGCTCTAGTATCTGCGCTGCATCCTCCCCAGTAATACTCGTGAAATGATGTTTGCATTCATCGTCTGATAAGTCCCCTGTACCAACTAGACTTTACTCTCCCTAGCTCTGTCCTGGGGGGAATTCTAATATCCTTAAACTTCTTAAGGAGCTTCAGACCCATATTATTAACCGACTTCAAATCATGCCTCCTTTTTAGGACCGTGGCAGGTGGCATCTGAAACAAAAGGGATAGCAATATAGTCACAAGAAAATTAAAAAAGTGTCCTCTAAGGAACATATTAATCCCAACTATATTATAGAGATAATATAGTAACTAGTAAAGAATATAACAGTATTCAAAAATAAAAGCCAACATTTTAAATAAAAATGACCTCAAGTGACAGCCAAACAAAGAAATGCCAATCTCAAGTGCCAATCAGGCTAAATATAACCAAGACTTCATCAAAGCCTTAAGAAAAATCACATCATAAACGAGGACTTAAATCAAGTCCTAAATAAGGGGAACACATCATGTTCCGATCAAAAGAAATAAAATTATATTAACCTTGGAGGTAGGCGATGTGTCCTCTCCTGTAGCAAAATTGAAAGTGAGGCTTGTAATCGTGCACAGTTACACTTCACTGAGGATGTATATTGTTTCCACAGACCAACAAAATACATGTTCAAAACTGATTTTGTTTTTTAAATCATTACACTTTGGCAAAAAGTTTTGTACCTTCAAAGTGGATGGTAATTCGTGACTTGACAAATATTCAAAGTATAATAGTATAGTTTGTTGTTTGTACTAAATCTTAGTTATTTTTCATAAAAAACACCTTTCAAGAGGTCATGGGGCACATTTTTCCTTAGAATTACAAAGCAATTTAATTTTTCTGGTAAAAAAGTTTGGCATAGCCTTCTCATCAAGTAATTTTATACATATTTTTTATAAAGTTGAATATGTGTTTGTAGTTGAGAAAAATATGGTAGAATTAACTTACGTTGATCAACAGATTTGGTTCCTGATAGTTTATTTACGTAATTTGTCAATGAAAGCAGATGACAGGTTGAAAGTCATTTATCAATCAATTTCAGTTGCAATAAAAATCTTAATATTTAAAATGTTTGGCAAAATGAGACTTAAGTATATTTGTACCAACCAGCACAAAACAAAAATTGATTGTCATGCAGGTTAAGGATAAAATATGAATTTTTAAAATTATTTCGATTGGAAAAATATTGAGGGCAGATGTATTAAGTAATTAAACAAATAAGATCTAACAATTTTGTTAAAACTGCACATATTGCATAAGTTATTGTTAATTGTTGAAGACAGTAGAGTTACATTTTAAAAGATATCTACTTGATTAACTTGAACTCTTTGGTAGCTTTTGAAGTTTTGTCATTGATGTTTATCCAAGATCTTCTGATCTTTTTAAAATATGTATAGTAAAGACTTACAATCTTATATATATACAGATCCTGTGTCAACACTTTGATAACAACGATCTGCATGATAGCATTCTGTTCTGCTCTTGGGATCCTCAGGTTTTGTCCTCATGATATACACTTCAAAAATTTGAAGGCAGAAATTTCATTGGTTGTAATAATTACTAGATCAGAAAGTAAAACTGAGTGTTGTCAGATCCTTGTGAGCGAAGTGTGGACACACAATCTGTATTTCAATCAGATTGATAAGGCTTATAAAATATTAGAAATTGAATTATATTACTTTTATATATGCGTATAAGTTAATTTGTCATGCATACTTTATTTTATTTAATTTTTTTTCAGACTTTTATGGAATTGTATGATTTGGTAAAGGATGAAAATGAACTAAACAATATCATAGATTATATTGACAAACCAGGCTTTGAAAAAAATAGGGATATGATAAAAGATATGAAGAATTGTAAAAAATGTCAGCATTTTCTTGAATTTATGGAAGACTGCAGGGGACATAACTGTGAGAAGATTATCAACCTACTTCACTGACTATAGAGAACACTGTATGGGACAAAATTGCAATTACTGTAATTTGAAATTCTTAAGAAGTTTAACTATGGAGATTGTTTTCTTCTATTTTAATTCTGTTAATGAATATACAGTCTACAAGTGACAAATTTAAAAAAAATCTGACATGTTTAAACCCACCACATTTTGTTTGTGCCTGTCTAAAGTCAGGAAGTAGCCTGTATTTCAGTGGTTGTCATTGGTAGCCGTTTATCATACTTGTTTTTATACCCCTGCTTTAAAAAAGTGGGGGTATACTGTTTTACCTCTGTCTGTCCGTCCATCCATCCGTCCGTCCATCCATCCCTCTGTCCGTCCATCCGTCCCATGAATATTTTTCGTCGCAGCTTTCTCAGGAACTACATCATAAGGATTTCTGAAAATTGGTTTCAGGGTTTATATAAGTTAGCTATACCGTGTGATGCGTTTTCAGATTCATTACTCAACGACTTCCTGTTTACCGAAATATTTGGGCGGGGGAATCATCAGTGAGCAGTAGCCCGCAGTTTCACTTGTTGTTTATTGTTTTATACAGGCCATAGGTTTTCTTGTTTGAATTGTTCTACATTTTGTCATGTCATTGTAGCTTACTATATGGTATGGGTTTTGCTCATTGTTGGTCTCTGATGGAGTTCTCTCATCGGCAATCATACCACATCTACTTATTTTTATATCAAAGTTTATAGTGATTTGTCATTTCATTCACACTAACAAAAATAATTTTCTCTGTGTTTATTTTGTCATCAGGGTTTTTGTTAGGCCAGTAAATTCGTCCTCAAACACCATTTTGAGTCCAAATAAAGTTTTCGGAAAAAATACATCATATCGACATGTTTTACCAGATATTGATGTCTGCTTTTATAATGATAAAAATCTAAGAGAATCAAAAATAATTACACATCATATTTAATAACAAGGAATTATTTGAAACTGGAATAATTTTGAATTCTAGAAAATATATAAGAAATGCTTGATGAAAACTAACCTAATTAAGGAGGGTTAGCCATGCATGCTTGGCTAAGAGAGATTAGTTAGTTCATACTGAAGTATTAGTGAAAGTAAAATGAACCTCAGCCAAGTGTGCATGGCCAACCCTATTTAGTTGGGTTAGTTTGCATAATGAATTTCAAAGTAATTTTTTTATATTTGATCAAAAAAGATGATTTTTTGTTGTGATTGTTTTCGATCTAGTATGACAAGATGACTGATTATTTAGAATACAGAGCTGGGAGACCTTACTGCTTCAGATGTTGCATGAATACAAATGTTGTATTTACATCATTATCTTCTACATTTTATCATATGGATCTTGTTTTATTTTCATACTTTATTTTTGATAAGATGACAAACTTTATATTTTATGTATTCTTTCATATGGATCCTGTTCTTTTTATACTTTATAGTTGATAGAATAACAAACTTTATATTTTATGTATTAGGAATTTTGTAAATAAACTACAAGAATTAGAAATTTGTGTATTTGTTTTTTTTATGCCCCCGCGGTAGCGGAGGGGGCATTAAGTTTAACCCTTGTCCGTATGTACGTCCCAAATTGGTTTCCGTTCTCTAACTTTAGTTTGGCTCAACCAAATTTTATGAAACTTATACACAATGCTTATTACCACAAAACACAGATCAAGTTTGAATTTTGGTGGCATCACTTTTACCATTTTAGAGTTATGCCCCTTTATAAACGGACAAATTGCTGAATTTTTTGTTTCCGTTCTCTAACTTTAGTTTGCCTCAACCAAATGTTATGAAACTTATAAGCAATGCTTGTTACCACAAAACACAGATCAAGTTTGAATTTTGGTGGCGTCACTTTTACCGTTTTAGAGTTATGCCCCTTTACAAATGGAAAAATTGCTGAATTTTTCGTTTCCATTCCCTTACTTTAGTTTGCCTCAACCAATTGTTATGAACCTTATACACAATGCTTATTAACACAAAACACAGATCAAGTTTGAATTTTGGTGGTGTCACTTTTACCATTCTAGAGATGCTTCATACTTTGTATATGGATGCCTCATGTTACGAAGTTTCCGTCAGTCACATGTCCAATGTCCTTGACCTCATTTTCATGGTTCAGTGACTACTTGAAAAAAAAGTTAAGATTTTTTGTAATGTTAGATTCTCTCTTATTATAAGTAATAGGATAACTGTATTTGGTATGTGCGTACCTTGCAAGGTTCTCATGCCCGTCAGACAGTTTTCACTTGACCTCGACCTCATTTCATGGATCAGTGAACACGGTTAAATTTTGGTGGTCAAGGTCATATCTCAGATACTATAAGCAATAGGTCTAGTATATTCGGTGTATGGAAGGACTGTAAGGTGTACATGTCAAACTGGCAGGTGTCATCTGACCTTGACCTCATTTTCATGGTTCAGTGGTTATAGTTAAGTTTTTGTGTTTTAGTCTGTTTTTCTTATACTGTATGCCATAGGTCTACTATATTTGGTGTATGGAATGATTGTAAGGTGTACATGTCTAGCAGGCAGGTGTCATCTGACCTTGACCTCATTTTCATGGTTCAGTGGTCAAAGTTAAGTTTTTGAGTTTTGGTCTTTTTTTCTAATACTATATGCAATAGTTCAACTATATTTGGTATGTGCGTACCTTGCAAGGTCCTCATGCCCGTCACACAGTTTTCACTTGACCTCGACCTCATTTCATGGATCAATGAACAAGGTTAAGTTTTGGTGGTCAAGTCCATATCTCAGATACTATAAGCAATAGGTCTAGTATATTTGGTGTATGGAAGGACTGTAAGGTGTACATGTCCAACTGGCAGGTGTCATCTGACCTTGACCTCATTTTCATGGTTCAGTGGTTATAGTTAAGTTTTTGTGTTTTGGTCTGTTTTTCTTATACTGTATGCCATAGGTCTACTATATTTGGTGTATGGAATGATTGTAAGGTGTACATGTCTAGCGGGCAGGTGTCTTCTGACCTTGACCTCATTTTCATGGTTCAGTGGTCAAAGTTAAGTTTTTGAGTTTTGGTCTTTTTTTCTAATACTATATGCAATAGGTCATCTATATTTGGTGTATGGAAATATTTTATGATGTACCTGTCAGTCTTGCAGGTTTTATTTGACCTTGACCTCATTTTCACGGTTCATTGCTCAGTGTTAAGTTTTTGTGTTTTGGTCTGTTTTTCTAATACTATAAGCAATAGGTCAACTATATTTGTTGTATGGAAGGATTGCAAGCTGTAGTACATGTCTGCCTGGCATTGTTCATCTGACCTTGACCTCATTTTCTTGGTTCATTGGTCAATGTTTAGTTTTCTTGGTTAAGTCTGTATCTTAGAAACTATAAACAATAGGTCAACTATATTTAGTGTATTGAATGATTGTAAGGTGTACATGTATTTCTTGTTTGGTTTATATGACCTTCACCTCATTTTCTTGGATCATGTTAAGTGTATGTGATAGTTGTAGTAAAGCTTTATATTTAGGACTATCAACATAATATCAATGATTAGTAAAGAAGGCGAGACATTTCAGCGTGTGCACTCTTGTACAATGCAATGTTTAATTTTGACTTCCACTGATAAAACACAGATCAAGTTGAATTTGGATAGTGTCACTTTAACCATTATTGAGTTATGCCCCTTTATAAATCGAAAGATTGCAAAATTTTTAGTTTCCATTCTGTAACTTAAGTTTGCCCATAATACAGATTAAGTACGAAATTTGGTGGCAACACTTTTACCATTCTTGAGTTATGTCCCTTTATAAACATAAAAATTGCTGAATTTTTCGTTTCTGTTCTCTAACTTTAGTTTGTCTCAACCAAATGTTATAAAACTTATACACAACCGTTCTAGAGTTATGCGTGTTTACAAATAGAAAAGTTGCTGAATTTTTAGTTTCTGTTCTCTACTTAAGTTATCCTCAACCAAATGTTATGAGACTTACACACAATGCTTATTACCACAAAACTCAGATCAAGTTCAAATTTGGGTAGCGTCACTTTTACTGCTCTTCAGTTATGTCCCTTTATAACTATATGATATGCAAGCAGGGGCATCATCTGTGTCCACATGTGGACACTATCCACATTTATTTCATTTAAGCATATTAGTACTCGCAGAACTTACATTTGTCAACGTCATGCCTTTACTTACACTTAAAAATCAGAGTGTCAATAAATACTTTTAAAATAAAAGGCAAAAGTGGTGACTTCAGTTTTCCCATTGTTACTTTACATTTACATGCAGCAACATTCCAGCAGCAACTGCATTTGTTTGGAGTATGTAAAAATAGGTATGTGTGGAGTGAGCTGCCAATGAGACAACTACTCACCTAAGAGTAAGGACATAAAATACAACTCACTGCTTACAAGGAAGCTACTAAATAAAGGGTTTTCATGGTAAAGTTGAAGTCAGGAACTGCTAACTCCTGGTTTTTTAATCATGGTTCTTGTATTGCTGACTTCAGTCAATCTTTTGAATGTGTTGGTGAACAGCTTTTAATTTTGATTGATACGTTCTTATTGTATTTGTATAAAGATGCCTTATGTCTGAAGTTTCCTGCAAACATATATGGCCTTGTTTTTTTTCAAATCATTATCAGGTGATTTGTGAATGTTTATTGATAGTTATGTTACAGATTGAAAGAATCTTCTCATAACAATAAATGAGAAAGCATTGTGTAGTTGTGTAGAGTCAGTGTTTGGCGGGAAAGTAAGTGGTCAGGTCTAAGGTTATAGTATTCATTATTGATTCTCTATGTTCAGCAAGGGTAACCTTTAGGGAACACTCCTATCAAGAAAATAATGTATTCGACCAGGGATACATAAGAGGATGAAAAAATTGCCACTTGAGGCTGTCAATGACTTGTCAAAGTTGTATCAATGTTCTTGTTAAGAAGACAAGCAGAATGTACAATCATATTAAATGCTGGAACAGCTATAATATTGTGATGACACTTTGTGATGGGTACAAAATAAATGTACTAGTTGATCTGATATAAGTAAAGTTGACTGAGCACTGCACCAGTCCTCACTGTCTGGTAGTGACAGACTGTCCCATTCAGAGGACACACTGTACCAGCCCACACTGTCAAATAGTGACAGATTGTCCCATCTGAAAATCAGGCTGTTAGTTTGTAATATGTTTGTACATATATAATTGTTTGTTGTTGCTTCATATCTGCAGAGAGCCAGTGTTTATATTTTAGTTAGTTTTATACAACATTAATAGATAGTTATACAGATTTTTGGTATCGCCTTTTTGTGAATGGACAGCTTAAATCCAAGTTTTTACTGGAACAAGTCGTTTAAGATACAAACACCTCAATGGTTCCACATTACAGTTGCATCAAAGTATAATGAATACTGTCAAGATTTCAGTTTCAAGACAAATCTTTTGAACCATAAGGAAAATTCTTGCTAAGCTTGATAATGTCCTGTGGGATGAGGTAGACACCTTCTGATTTTGGGGTCAATAGGTTATAGTCACACAACTATAAATAAACTGAATCTTGGGCAAAATGTTGGTTTCCAAAAGTCACCTTTTAACCATATGTCCATCTTTTACTAACTTAACAATTGGGGGATCACTAGATCATGATTAAAATCAAGGTAACAACAGTTGTTCTTTGAATATCTTTTCAACCATGAGACACTTGGTTTGGGAGAGCACCATTAGAAACAGAATATCCTTGATTTTTGAGTCAATAAGTCAAAGGGTTATGGTCACAGCAGCTATTAATAGACTGAAATTTGAACAAAATTTTGGTTTTCATTTTTATTGATTTATAGGTCAAAGTCTTTTTTGAAATATGTGGCCAACCTTCACAAAACTGAAGATTGTCCTTGCCGTTGGAAAGAACAAGACCAAGTGCTGATGTTTTGGTTAGTAGGTCAAATGTCAAGGCCACAGAAATTATTAACAGACTGAAATTTTGGCAAAAGTTAATTTGGGTCAATTTTTTTTGGCCATAAATTAGGTAGTCATATTCTATATAGGGTTATTGGCCTTGGGATAAAAAAATCATATATTTATTTCTTTTGGTCACTAGAAGCAAATTACTACAAATCCATAAAGATCTCAACTGTGCTAAAGGACCCATAGTGTTTTAAGCAGAGTTTTGACAAAGTCTAACTCAAGTAGGATGTGCAGTTCTACAGATGTCTAATGTCAACATTTTGGTTTCAAAACAAAATCTTTGAGCTATAAAACAATAAAATCACCAAACTATTTTGGCTGTTTTCTGCTCTTTGGTCGGGTTGTTGTCTCTTTGACACTTTCCCCATTTCCATTCTCAATTTTATTGGTTTGATAATGCCCCATGGAATTAGGAAAGTATATTGATTTTGGGCTCTATGGGTCAAAGTTCTAGGTCACAGCAGTGATTGAGACTGATATCTGGATAAAATTTTGGTTTCCATATGTTATGTTGTGTACAATTGTCCAACTTTTACCCATTTTTTTTTTAAATGCCCAATGGCATGAGAAAGAACCTATTGATTTTGGTGTCCAAGGTCAAGTCACAACAACAGCTATTGATAAACAAAAATAATTGCAAATTTTGATTTCTGGATGTTATCTTTTTAACCATTGTCCTACTTTTACCAATCTTGGTGTTCTAGTGCCCTATTGGACACAAGAAACCTCTATTGATTTTGAGGTCAATACTTCACGGTCACAGCAGCAGTTGAGTCTAACATTTTGGTTTTTAAGTTATCTCAAGTGAACCATATGTCCAACATTCATCAAACTTGACTTCAAATTATCATTGTAAAGGACAAGACCCTGTAGATTTTTGGGTCAGTAGGTCAAGGTCACAATACATATTTTCCAATATTTAACAAATTTGTTAGCACATAGTCTTCATCATCGAAACCAACAAAATTCAGATTCATGAATCTTTTTTTAACTGCAAATCCAAAAAGATGTGGAAGAGGTCCAACCCTGAACAGTTGGGGCAAAAATGGACACAATATTCGCGCTTGATACAGGTCTGAATTTGGATTGTAATTCAATATTTGACACATAATAGGTTTCTGACACAGAATAACTGTAGTCAAAGAACTTAGAATTGGTTATATGATTTGAATTTATATTCAATTTCTTGCTTTTGTACAATACACTGTGCTGTTGCGCAATACTTTGTAAATCTGTTTTCAGACGATATACAAAGAATAAGCAATTGTGACACACAATTTTTTTGGGAAAATTGATAATTTTTTAAATCTTGAAGAAAAATTGACCACCCTAAAAATTATTTTGTTTATGGTCATAATCTCAATTCAAATTTCCAATGGAGTTTGCAACCATAAAAACCCATTTAAATACATCATAAAAGTATTGAAATAGAAAATGACATACATAATCATGGCTAAAATTAATATACCTTCATCAGCATTTAATAGTAACTTCTAAAAATAAATTGACCTCAAAACAATACAACATTTCTTTATAACAAAACCATTGTAAGGGAGGTAACTCTTAACTCATTCGACCCCAAGAGATTTCTGGAAGATCAGGCATTTTTGAAAATTTGCAAACTTATGCAAATTATATGCAAATTAGTAGACTCTTGATGCTGTAACTGATGCTGATCTATTAAACTATATATTGAGATTTGGGGGTGGATGGCATGGGTGCGGTGGGGTGGGGTGGGGTGGGGTGGGAGGTGGTATATTTTCTGGTGGGTTTGAACTCACCCCTACTGAAAAATGGTAATTTTCAGTCTATTTTTCGATTTTAATACGACCTTGAGAGGTGAACATTGAGTAAACTGTGTTTCTTTATCATTCAAGTATTACCTTACAGTTACAGCAGTCTATCCATACTAACTGGAAGTAAATGTGACTTGAGAATCTTGCTGGGGAATTATTATTGGCTAGCCAAGCATGCCTAAATGTCCGTTTTTACCAATTTCTGGCAAAACGGTGACCTAGATTTTACAGACCACATTTCTTTTGGCCATATTATACCTCCTTGTGTTCCTGTACCATCTATGCATGTATTTATGATAATAGTTGATACCTACAGCCCATACCAGTAACGTAGTGGCCATAAAACGACTCCCACCCCCACCTGATTTTGGCTACTTTTCACGTTTTTCCGATTTTGAACTCTAAAAAAGGCCATTAAAGTTGCCATATTTTCATAATCACACATCTGAGAAGAGTTTATGGACCATGAATTGCATGGTTAAAGTCCCTGCTGTAAAGACAGCTGAGCTGGGGCAGTTCTAAAAAAGTATGGAGGGTCATACAGGCCATCAAAGAATGGTGGTTGCCATCACGACTACAGGCGGGATTGGGGGTGGAGGGGTTAATGCTATAAAAAACCCAAACAAATGATATTGATCACAAATAAACAATTCTGAATATGAAAATTTATTACCACTGAACCCTTTGATATACACTATTATCATATTATATATACTTCTATCACAGTATTTGATGTTTCTAGAAACAGCTAAAAAATAATTCAAACTAGAAATAGCTGACAACTTTACATAATTTAAAAGCAATGTAAGGGAGGTAATTCAAATATAACATTGTAATTATTATCTTTTAAATGTTATTTAATGTTTATTAAATCAAATAAATGTGGATAGTGTCCATATGTGGACACAGATGATGCCCCCGCTTGCATATCATATAGTTATAAAGTGACATAACTGAAGAACGGTAAACGTGACGCTACCCAAATTTGAACTTGATCTGAGTTTTGTGGTAATAAGCATTGTGTGTAAGTCTCATAACATTTGGTTGAGACTAACTTAAGTAGAGAACAGAAACTAAAAATTCAGCAATTTTTCTATTTGTAAACACGCATAACTCCAGAACGGTTGTGTATAAGTTTTATAACATTTGGTTGAGACAAACTAAAGTTAGAGAACGGAAACGAAAAATTCAGCAATTTTTATGTTTATTAAGGGACATAACTCAAGAATGGTAAAAGTGTCGCCACCAAATTTGGTACTCAATCTGTATTATGTAGTAATAAGCATTGTGTATAAGTTTCATAACATTTGGTTGAGTCAAACTAAAGTTATAAAGCGGAAACAAAAAAATTGTACTTGATCTTAGTTTTGTGGTAATGAATATTGTGAATAGGTTTCATGTTTGGTTGGGGAAAACTTAAGTTACAGAATTGAAACTAAAAATTTTGCAATCTTTCGATTTATAAAGGGGCATAACTCAATAATGGTTAAAGTGACACTACCTAAATTCAACTTGATCTGTGTTTTATCAGTGGAAGTCAAAATTAAACATTGCATTGTATAAAGCATTGATTGTAGTTGATTCAAGTATAATCATGGACAAAGGAAGATAACTCCAATTTTAAAAATTACTTGATATTTAGAAAAAAATAAAAATTTAGCAATTTTTCCATTTATAAAGGAGCATAACTCTAGAACAGTTAAAGTGACACCACCAAAATTCAAACTTGATCTGTGTTTTGTGGTAATAAGCATTGTGTATAAGTTTCATAACATTTGGTTGAGGCAAACTTAAGTTAGAGAAAGGAAACCAATTTTGGGACATACGTTCGTACGTACGTACAGACAGACAAGGGTAAAACTTAATGCTCCCACCGCTACAGCGGGGGCATAACAAAACAAAACAAATTTTATAGCCTTAGGACCAAAATTTTGACCAATTAGAAAATGGACCCAACAACCAAATACACAGTTAGATTCAGCATATGAAAAAAATTGTAATACTAATAGCATGAAAAATTGTAATACTTATAGCAAAAAGTCCCAACATAAAGAATCAAAGCTTTCTCAAAATCAAAATCCCAAAATATTGTTCTCTTCTATATACTGTAAAATATCATGAATCAATCAAATGCTTTCCATTATATAATGCTTAATGGTCCAATATCTATTTCATAGAGATCCAAAGACCAGTGTTTGTCCATTAACCAGAAAACCCTTGTTTCCCCCTTTTTTTGCCCCTAATTCCTAAACGGTTTCAGCCATAACCCCCCAAAGCCAATCCTAACCATCCCTTTGTGGTATGGAAACTTGTGGTATAATTTCAGAGAGATCCATACACTGTTCCACAAGTTATTGTCTGGAAACTAGAAAAATGCTTATTTGGGCCCCTTTTTGACCCCTAATTCCTAAACTGTTGGGACCATAACCCCCAAAATCAATCCGAAACCTTCCTTTTGTGGTTTTAAACCTTGTGTTTAAATTTCATAGATTTCTATTTACTTATACTAAAGCTATTGTCCGGAAACCAAATGTTTTCACACGATGCTGTAGCCGACGACGACGACATGATACCAATATACAACCGCAAAATTTTTTGCAGTAGTATAAAATTCACTGCATGTTGCATTAGATGACCTTTATACTTACTATGAGAAATAGCTGTACTGCATTTAGTTTAAATAAATACAGTTAGGTTATATATGTCTGTCTAACAGGCAAATTAAAAAACAAACTGATTATAAAAATTTTAATATAAAACTGTATTTAAAGCTCATTTTCGAATTCAAATAGTTTAAGATAGACTAAGATATAATAACAGATCATACATTGTGTTCACAGCAAAATATCCTGAATAGGTATATTTTCCCTGTTCATATAATTTGTTTCATTTCCTTGTATTTTATCAAAGATGGCTAATTAATACAGAGACGGTGACCATAAAGTAGATCCCTTATGTTCCATTAAAAAGATTAAGTGGTTTATAGGAGTTATAAATGTCTCAGTATAAGGCTTAAAACAAAATATGAATAAGTAAAAATTGTTCTTCAGCCTTTAATATACCAGTATAATATGTTGTGGTTCTCAGTGTACAGTGAATAAAAGATAAATCTTTGTTCATGGGATTCAATTTTTTTGGAGTTTCTTGAATTAACTGATCCATCAGATTAATACCAAACAAAGAAAAAAACATTTTCACACATTTAACATTTGGAATTACAAATCCGCAGTCATATAAATTAATATAATTCTACTTTTGCATCAAGTGGGATTCAACATTATATTCAATTAAATTAACTTTCAAACTTGTGTTAACTTTTAAATATTAAAAAAAAACAGTGTTGTACTTCATTTTAATTAATCACAACTTTTTTATGCACACTTTAGAAAATATTGCCCAAAATGCTTTGGATTATAAAAAAGTTAGCTGGATTTCTTCACAATATATTGTGATTATAAATGAAACATTGACCTCAAAGTGCAGAGATGTAAAGGGAGAAACTTGTATGGAAAAATTCCAATCATTGATCAAAGTTTTTAAAACAAAGATATTAAGATTATATATTACAATTATAGAACAATTTTTAAAGATATTTTGATTTTCAATTAATACTTTATAAGTTTTAAACACAAGCTACTTATAATTTGCTAATTTCAAAATAAATAAATAATTACATATAATATTGGTTTTTCAAAATGAAACACATACATAGCATAACAAAATAATTTCAAACAAATATTTTTGCACATAAACATTGCACACAAATCACAAAGTTTTAACAGATACATTCAATCTATTTCAGAACTGTCTCACCCTGTATATTGAAGAATTCATTATATCACCATTAGATTTTATCAACACAACACAAACTAGCAAATCAAACCCTTTTGTTCTATCACAATTTTGTTATCTAATCTTATAATAATAAATTGACAGCTACTGTGGTTCATTTATTTCGGTGGATACCAATTTTTGTGGATTGAGGAATAATTGTATTTTCATGGATATTTGATTCCATGGTTATATCTAAGTCTGCATTCAAGCCTATAGAAAATTTGCACTTTGTTGAATATTTGAATTTGTGGTTTACCTAAATCCACCAAATCCACGAATAATAATAAATCCACAGAAGTACATTCTAAACTTTTTGATCACATTGCTCTGAGATTAACATTCAAGGTTCACTTTTGAGCATCTATACCAAATTCTACCATTGTTCTCTTCACTTAACAGTATATGTGTTAGTAAAATGTATCCAATATTGTGTAGCTACTTAAACTTTCATACTTGCATAATTTTATTACTCCTATCACAGTTTAACTTGAATTTGGTTGGATCTATTTATAACACAAACACAGGGTTCATTATTCAGGAACAGAATAATATGTTTCCTATTTGGAATATTTTACAATAAACTGAATATTCTGAGTTGAGATTTTAAAGTTTGAAATTGTGAAATAATTAAAGTACTAGTTATAATTTTTAATAACTTGTAACTATAAATCTGAATGAAATGAAAGTATAAATAGGAAAAGATGTAAAAGTACATATATGATAATTAGGGATTATCAATAGTTTTTCAAAGGAGATGGTTTTTCTTGGCTACAATCTCATCAAAGGGAAACAGCCCTTAGATAAAATGTTGCAGAGAAACAACCTCGAGTTTGAAAGATTGATAATCTGTTTATTGCTCTTTTCTTTGGCAACATCAATGACATAGGCCTATGACTTCATACTTTCTCTTTCTACTCAACTGAGAAAATCCAATATCACTCGAGTACCATGATATGGCAATTATCACAAAAAAATCAAAGGAAAATTTGATAAAATAGTGATAAACAACATTTATCACTATTTTCAATTTCTTACAATTTTCTTTGATCTTTCTGTTAGATAATTTTCCGTCTCAACCAACTAAATTGAGAATGATTTTTTCTCAGCCAATTCCAGTGAGAACACAATGACTTTGCTGATCAAAAATAGCGCTAAACAGATTATCTGTGGTCTTTCAACTCTTCGAAGTTTCTTGGCCACATCTCATCTCATGACTATCCCCCTTTGATGAGATTGTAGCCAAGAAAATTCCTCTTGTTTTCAGACCCATAGATAATCTATTAATATATATTTAAAAGAAAAGATGTATTTAGCAACAATGAACAAAGGGCACAAGACACAAATTTAAATAAACATATCAAAGAAAAAATTGGCTTTATTATAAAATAGACAAATAAACTAGCTGCCAAACCATATTCCTTTGCTTTTTTGCAAAATGTGCAAAACAAATAACTTTACATTCCTCAACATTGATCAAAGTAAAACTTGCTTAATAACAGAAAAGGTTCCAAGGAACACGAGAACCTAACTTGGTGTGGCAATCGCTTTGTGCAACGTAGTTTTTACAGTATCAGGCTAGTGATATTCTCAGATTTAAATTTGTGGCCATGTTGAATACTAGTCAGCCAAAACAGCAGTTTCAGAGGAATATACTCGTTCAACAAAGGATATAAAATGCTAAGAAAAGTTGTGCACCAAAATTAAACATATCAAAGCTAAATAATAATGGTTTAATAATAACACTTTGGTTTTTTCATTATAAATTAACACATCATTAATCATAAATGCACATTATACAAAAAACAATAGTGGTAAATGTTTTGTTTAGTTTATAATGAGACATTACACCAAAACTTATACAGGTGTTAGCTAAATCTCTCAGATCAATTCAATTGCAGTTTAACATAAAGCAATTTAAAAAAAAAATAAAGTATTGAAATTAATATTGTTGTAGTGAAACAGCTTGCTTAAGGTGATTTAACAAAAAAAATACCTGAGATCTACCTGAGAATTTTGATATTTTTTGAAAACGGCTCTTTTTTAAATTACATTTTTCTCATAAAAAAAACAGATTTTCCAGTTTAAATAAGTAAAATTGATATGTTCTAAAAGGTGTGAATAATTTTTAAAACAAAATTTTAACAGTGGTTACTTTGAAAATGACATTCAAACATAAGATACAGACAAAAAATTACTAATTAGATGTTATTTTTTTTCAAAACCGATATTTCACTTTAAAAATATTATAGCCTTGGCTATAAACATACAATGTTCAAATGTATAATGTTAAACTGACGAAAAAATCTTTTCAAACATAAAAAGAAAAGCTTACTTTAAAATTCAAATAAAAAATAAATGCAGTTTTTTTTTTTTTATATCTTAGAACTTATTATGAATAAACCTTCTTCGCTGTTATCATTTTCATAACATTTTAGCATAAAAATCTTCCGTAAATGTTGAAATTTTCTCACAGGGATTATTTTTGCAAATTTGGAAATCATGTAAAATGCATGAAAATATCCTCAGCAAGAGGTTTGTACCAATCAACAATGTTCACTGTAGGTCAAACTTATAATTTAATGACAAAATTTACCATTGCACCGAAAGTTTATGTATTGAAATCGCAAAATTCTCCTTATTTACAGCCTTTGGGGGCCTTCTCAAACTTGCATTCAAATACATTTTGGAAAATTCAATTTATGTAAAGTTATTTACTCAAAATTTAGCTTTCACATATTTCCAATTACATGTAGCTTGATATAATAAAAAAATAATAATGAAAAAGTACACTCTACATGAAATTAATCAATAAAATGAAAATGATTTAAATAACGCTAAAATCTATAATTAATGAAATTTTAAACAAATTGATAGTTTTCTCTAGCTACATTGAGTCTCATTCTTCTGAGCAAGTTTTCTGGTTTCCCTGGGACATCATAAAGATTTTTCCAGTCTACTTTGTTAGGCCGCAACAATCCAAAAAAGCTTATACCAAGTACATCTATCAGATTAGATAAGGGACCTCGGCTGAAAAAGAAAATATAAAAATATTTATAAATTTGTTTTTAAAAACTGCTATGCAGAACATTCTAATCCAAAATTGTTACTTACAACTTATCATGTACTTAACAAGTCAATTGGAGAAAAAGCTGAAAGGTGAAATTAATTATGTGTTTAATTTTTACAAATTATGACAATTTTCCAAAACCTGTACTTTGTAAATCAACCTTAGTGACCTACATTTATTATATTTTTGAAAATATTATTTTAGATAAGTATTAAGAAAAGTTGTATCTTTGTTTGTTTATACTCCAATACTACCTATAGTAGTTTTACCATAATAATATCTCAAATGTACAAAAAAAGTCTTTGTTCCTAGCAATACTAACTTATAAAAGAATTTGCATCTATTTTCATGGTATACCCACCTTAATGGACTTCAATGTTAATAGCAATACCAACTCAATGGCTCACTAGTATGAAGCTAAGTAATGATCTCTCTTTACATAAATACCAAAGCATTTTTATAGGATGCTTTAGATTGCAGTGTGTGAAGTGATTTTGTGGCATGAATTGATACAGCATATTCTTCTAATCCATATTAGGGTAAAACACAGTCAGAATACTCCAATTAGAATTAAACAGTAAGAATACTCCCATAAGCATTAAACACAGTCAGAATACTTCCATAAGCATTAAACACAGTCAGAATACTCCCATAAGCATTAAACACAGTCAGAATACGCCCATAAGCATTAAATACAGTCAGAATACTTCCATAAGCATTAAACACAGTCAGAATACTTCCATAAGCATTAAACACAGTCAGAATACTCCCATAAGCATTAAATACAGTCAGAATACTTCCATAAGCATTAAAAACAGTCAGAATACTTCCATAAGCATTAAACACAGTCAGAATACTCCCATTAGGGTAAAACACAATCAGAATACTACTATTAGGGTTAAACATAGTTAGAATACTCCCATTAGGGTAAAACTCGATCAGAATACTCTTATTAGGGTTAAACACATTCAGAATACTCCCATTATAATTAAACAGTCAGAATACTGCCATAAGCTTTAAACACAGTCAGAATACTCCCATATGGGTTAAACATAGTCAAAATACTCCCATTAAAGTTAAATACGGTCAGAATACTCACTTAAATGGACTTTTAGGTTGGTGTTTACATCTCTCTCCATCATCATGGCTGTGTCCGACTCCTTTGTCTTCATCTTCATGTTGTGGATGGAAATATTTATATCTGTGAGCATTCAATCTTTCATTGGTTGTCATGGCTAACCACATAACCTAAAAAAAACATAAAAATCAAAAAATAAATACAAGTAACAGTGCTATCTAATAATAAACTGCTTCACCAAGGTCTAACAGTTGGGGCAAAAATGGACACAATATTCAAGCTTGATACAGGACTGAATTTGGATTGTAATTAAATATTTGACACATTATAGGTTTCTGACACAGAATAAATGTAGTCAAAGAACTTGAAATTGGTTATATGATTTGAATTTATATTCAATTGAAGATTTCTTGCTGTTGTGCAATACACTGTGCTGTTGCGCAATACTTAGTAAATCTGTTTTCAGACTATATACAAAGAATTAGCAAAATAAATTGTGACCCCCAATTTTTCTTTGGAAAATTGACAATTTCTTGAGGGAAAAAAAAAAATCTTTTTGTAAAATGTGGTACAATTTAAAAGACATTCATACACTTAAACACAAGTTATTGTCTGAAAACTAGAAAAATGCTTGTTTGGACCCTTTCTGGCCCCTAATTCCTGAACGGTTTATGCAATTACCCCCAAAATGAATCCCAACCTTCTACTTGTGGTATTGAACCTTGTGGTACAATTTCAGAGCAATCAAAATACTTATACACAAGTTATTGTCCTGAAACTAGAAAAATGCTTGTTTTGGCCCTTAATTCCTTAACGTTTGGGACAATCACCCCCAAAAACAATCCTAACCTTCCTTTTGTGGTTTTGAACCTTTTGATTAAATTTCATAGGAGATCCATACACTTAAACTAAAGTTATTGTCCGGAAACCAAATGCCTCCGGACGACAACAATGATGACGATGACGCTGACGACGTGATAGCAATATACGACCCCAAAATTTTTTTGCGGTCGTATATAAACCAGTAATTTTGCATGCGCTTCTATCACTGCGTTGTCACTGACTTTGGTATCAAAACAAAGTGAGAACTTGTAGAAAAGGTATAATCCCTTGCTTTTTCTACCTAATTTACATTAAAAGACAAAGTAATAAATTGAAGAACTAATCCAAGAATTCAAATATCAAGTGACTGAAAAACTCATTAATTCATGAAAGCGTGTAGCCTATACGAGATCTATCACTTTACGAGTTATACATTGTAATTTGTAATTTAAATGTGACCTGTTTTTTACGCTTCATAACTGTGTGGTAAAAGTATTTTGTCAAATGGTACTTTCATTATCATCCAAAAACCGAAACATATCCACTTTTTGAGTCCAACTTCGAGGCAGGGGTATACAAATTATATTCATATGATAGCTTTCCAAAGTCTAGGTTTACCTTGGACCATCCTATACCTACCTGGTAGAGTTGACACACTAGTAAGATTCCAACCCAACAGAAATGGAATGCAGCATTCATTGCTATCCATGTTACCCAGGGAGAATTTTTCACTAATTTGTACGATACTCCAGTAATTCCTTCTTCATAGAAATCAAAAGGCACAACATTATTCCAATCTGAAAAACATACACATTTTTTTCATTGTTATTTCAATACACTATGTGCTTTCAGAGAAATTAAGGTATATATTTTTCATCTGTGGAATCCAGTTTCTTCTCCAGGCTTGCATTTTACAATAAATCTTATGACTAAAATTGATCATAAGTAAATTTTATGACTTACAATCCATTTAATTCGTAAGATGTTTGTGAAATGCAGGCCAGGCCCTTGAACTGTGGTTCTGCAGTATTATAATTTTACATATAGTTTGAAACTAAACTTGAAGCAAACTTTATTTTCAATTAACCCTGCAGTTTAAAAAAAATAAATTTTTATTTAAAATATATATATATGAGCAGGATGAGTAGGCATATGACATAATGCTAGGTGTATATATAAAAATAAGATGTTCAGTTTCAGAAAAGATTAGTTTTTTATTTAAATATAAATGAGTAGATATCTGACATAATGCTAGGTGTTTATATAAAAATAAGATGTGGTATGATTTAGTTCATATTGGAAATTTGTACAAGATGGGTTAACAATTATACTGCAATCTACAACTTATTCAATTATTAACTTTATCCAGCAACCAGCCAAATAACAGCCTTATAGATATGTATAGACTGTATTTTTACATACAACATATATAGATATATAGCATGGATTATGACATTGCACTTCTTTTCTTTTAACTCTCTTCCTTTTATATCTGTGACATCATGCAATAATTCCATGCAGTTGCCTTTTTATCATCAAAATACCTACATTCTCTCCCTTTCCTTTTTTCAAGATAGACTTTTGTGCTAGTAGTATCAAATCTATAAACTATTTTTAACGTGTCAGTTATGGATTAAATTTTGCACACGACACAGAACAAGCCTCTCATCTTTATCTATTCCCTAGACTACTATGTAACAAATAAAGGAGAAAGAAACCCAAAATAAAATGTGTGTTAAATACAAACAACAATTTGTATATAATGGTGTACATATTTTGTTTAAAAAAAAGATTGCATAAGATAATTGAACACACTCGTTTCAGTTTTTCGATTTTGAATTTACTGCCATTTTGTGAAACTCTGTTACATTGAAGAGCACAAAAAGTGTATTTTTCTACATCACAGCACCCATTCAAATGTAGTAGTGACATCACAAGTTTCAGAAATGTGGCATATATTTAAATATACTAAATTAATGGCCTTGTTTTTTTTCCAATTTTATACTTGCCGCAATATGGCATTTAGCACTGATGCGACATAAATCAATCACCAATCAATCAATCAACCAATCACCAATCAATCAATCTATTTAATACTTACATATTTTACAGCCATACATACACCAACATATCATACCAAACAGGAAAAATAAATATCCAATAAAGTATTTATGGTTATTTGCACCTGAAAATAGATGTTTTTATCATTCACTATACAATGTTTCATCATGTAAACACCTGTCTTACTTTCCACATTAGCAAACTTGTAGTTAAAATTATCAAACTTATTTACTCTTTTTATATTGTTATGCTTTCAGAATATACTTGTATGTGTCAAATTTAACAAATTTGATACTAAAACATGTTATTCAGATTAGATAGGTTTTTCTGTTTACATTGGTTGTACATGTATTACTAAAGAATGTTCACTGTTTGTATAAAAATAAGGAGATGTGGTATGATTGCCAATGAGACAACTATCCTCCATAGTTCAAATGAAGTGGATGAAAGCAATTATAGGCAACCGTACGGCCTTCAACAATGAGAAAAACCCATACAGTATAGTCAGCTATAAAAGGCCCAGACATGAAAAATATGAAACAATTCAATTCAGAAAACTAATGGCCTAATTTATAATAATATATATTGTCTTGATTCCATAGGTGTCAACTCATCTGATCTTTGTGTGAGCCTCCCAATATTGTTCCAAAATTTCCTAAATCTCCTGCTCCGTGCCCACCTCCCCCAATAATTAGAATCTCCCACTATTCAGAAATTGCAATCCCGTTTATTCTCATAATTTACCCGATTCTAAGTTAGTCATGAGTTTCTGTTCACCAGCTTTCACATTTTTATGTGTACATCTCATATTTTTCTGTTATTTTTAAAATATTAGGGTCCAAATTGAAGCATTTCATTTAAAGATCAGAGGGAATACAAAAAAAAAAGAAAAAATATTCATGTAAATTTTGCCCAGAATGGACAAAAACTTTTTTCATATAGCCAAGTGATCTTGGACCACAAATGTCTTACTGTAATTTATGCAAGATAAATATTTCAGGAAACTCATAGTAATAAAGACATTGAAAAATACTGGGAGGAAGAATGGGGAAAATTTTGGTCTCCTTTACATGTAATATTTAACTAAATGTTGTTTCATATTATCTATGTTTTAGTTAAGAGAAAAAAAATAAGTTATATACTATGAACCAATTTTATGTTTGTCTTTAAAATAATTGTATTAAAAAGTAAGTCATGATACATATTGTAGCAAAACAGATGAGTGAAAAGTATTAATGTTGTATGTGAGAAAGTCAGAGAGAGAGAGAGATTAATCAAATACAATTTATATGTAACTTAAAATAGTCTTATTGTTAAAAATCAATTTACATTGTCATTTCGGGGCCTTTTATAGCTGACAGTGCGGTATGGGCTTTGCTCATTGTTGAAGGCCATACGGTGACCTATAGTTGTTAATTTCTGTGTCATTTGGTCTCTTGTGGAGAGTTGTCTCATTGGCAATCATACCACATCTTCTTTTTATAGTCAGAGATACATGTTGTATATTGCATTATTTTTCTGTATTTACCCCTTGTGTATGGGGGTATGTATAATCCTGACTATTGAAAAACAAATAAAAGATAAAAAAAAAAAGATAAATATTTCAGGAGGGTTGTATGATGTAAAAAGACATTAAGAATCTAGAAGTAAACTTGGCAATGATACAGTTTGCTCATTAATATGTTGTAAACAAAACACAGACGTGCTTATATCATGTTTACCTCCATTAACAATAAAAGAACAGAGTTCCAATGTCCCCCGTGTTGCACATATTTTATATATCCAATTGCAATAACTAAAAAAAGTACTACTTTTTGTTCTTTAAAACAATTTATAAATATCTTGGAGAAATGAAGGCTTCAGAGCAAATGCAATGTTCCGTTATAATTAATTTTTCCAAGGGGCATAACTCGTTAAAAATATTTGATCAGCACTTATTTTTGAAAGTTTTAAAGACATTGCTGATATTAACCTATGATATAAGTTTCATAAAAATCTGGCAAGAACTGTACATCTAAGAGCGCTAACAAGACAGGAAGGACGGACGGACGCCTAGTATTTCCATGTCCCCCTGCAACACGTTTCGCAGGGGAAAATTAAAGCTACATTTCAAAGAAAACAAACTTACCAACACAATTATCAATCCAGGGACAGTGATGGTCCATTTTTGCAACACATTTATTACAAATACCACAATGCTTGGATCTTAATGGTCGATGTACTAAACAGGTACTACAGAATTCTTGTAATGTTAGAGTCTGTGTTTCTGCTAAATCTAATACAGTCTACAAAATATGTCAGATATAGTATATAGAATTTCTAAATATTTTAGGAAACAATTTTAAGTTTTAACTGATGATCAAGAAAAAGTTTTATAAGTACCCCTTGAATAAAACAGAGAGGCAGCTAGATGTGTCAAACACTGTATTGCCATGAGTAATTCATTTCATAATTGTTATCATGCTAAATATTTACAGGCTGCAGTCATATACAATATTTTTAAATCATCCTTTTTTATTACCTTTTTATGAAACTACTGCTTATTAGTGTATAATTACGGTACATTAGAAAATATTTTTTTGGATACAAATATTTTACAAACATAAATATATACTTTTTGTATTCATTGCAATTTGATAGAGCCAATCAAAACTTGTTGTCTTTTATTTATTAAGAATTTTTTATCTGTAAGGAATTACTGTACTTTGTATAGAAGCTTATTTAGCATTCATAAAATTTTTACTTTTCTTCGGATGAACATGGTTGTCATATAAAAATGCTCCTTAATCAAAGAAATATATCAAATATTAATTCAAGTTATATGTTACATTAATAGGGACCATACTGCTACAGAAATTTGTTTTATGTGAATTTCAATTAAAATTTGGATTTATCTCCCCTTGGATCACAAATTGTCACTTTTTCTCATTAAATAAATGATGTACATAGAAATGTAGATTGTATTTTAAAGTAATAATGCACAAACAGCTAAATATTCTACTCTTCTTACTTTTTAATAAATAAAAAAAAATAAAACTTTTTACTGGGGATTAATATTGTAATTTTTTTAAAAGATCTAAGGTTATTATTATTGTTTCTTACAGATTGCCAGATCCTCATCTAATTCTAATGTTACCTTCATTTTCTGTTCTCTGTTTGTGTCAATAAATCCAGGGTCTGTCTTCCAAGCTTTTACAAAGTTATATGTTAGTAACAACGTATTTATTGTAAATAAAATATTAAGTTTCATGCTATTTACATCTGTACACAAGTTAAGGAAGCAATGAGTCATTTACTTAGCTGATGAAGCATTAAATTAATAAATGTATCAAAAAGGTGTAGAACCACTTATTCGGGTCAAGGCAGAAAGATTATATCAGGAAATAGATCATATTTAAAACAAAATTACATATCTTAAACAAAATAGTTCCTATGCATAGGTGCAACTTTGAAAATATGAGGAATATTTTGGTAATATTTGTACCAAATAAAATATGATGAATATTTTGGTAATATTTGTACCAAATGGAAGCTGACTTGGGATAATTGTAGAACACTTTTTGGCTATAAAAAAAATGGTATTACATTTTAAATAGGAGGGCATATTTGGCCTGTTTCACAGATCTGAAATTCCTGTTTAGTTGCCTACTAAGATCCTGGAACACTCTTCAAATGAAATTCAAGGTATGCTGATTTTTTTATTAAAAGCCATTGTCATGACTGTCAGTTTATTTGAATTTAAGACAAAGAATCATGACCAATTTCAACCCTTCATGAACCTTCTCCTTAATGCAAGGGGGATATTTTTTGTAATTTTATCTTAATATTTAAATTATCAAAAATAAATCCCTGGCAAAAATTTCACACTGTATATATGGTACATATAATTTTACAGCTTAATTGGTCTCATTTAGTATTCATATAGATAAGTAAAGAAGTGATGTTAAATCTAAAAGACTAACACAATAAATATGACATTTAATAACAAACATACTGCTTATGGCATAGACAGGCAAACACATTATATTTTTGTCATTTTATTTGACCAATATTTTTTTATGAATAAAAACAAAACCAAAAAAGAAGGAAGTTTTACTTGGACATTGTCAATACATGCAATACATTTTATTACTTAAAAGGTTAAAGGGATTTATGAATTACAACAAACCATAAATGTTATTCCATATTTCAATCCTAATATTGAATACTGAATCAAATCAGAATTTGTACACTTTGTCAACTATGTCAACTAATCTCACTGATTTTTAAAACCCAGTAATCTCCCCAGGCCGTTTTTGCGTCGCGGTACCTCGACGCTATAACTTTTTTCCGTGACGCTATAAGAATTTCAACGACGCTGTAATTATTTTGAGGATGCTATTTTTCTTGTCTCTATACATTGCCGCAAAATCGAATCTTAATTTTTGAACTTTCATCTAATTACGGCTTGTGATCATAAACATTATATCACACCTTTAATTGTAATCACTTCAAGTCAGACAATAGAGGCAATTAAGAGTGGTTAAATAGGTGTTAATTGCCCTTTGGGTGATAACTGTTTGGATACGAATACCCCAAGCTGACACTTATGACTTGACTAATAACACGTGGTCCAATCGGTGAATCGCAAATTTTGACATAGAGAAAATGGAATCAGAAAGTCATAAAGAATTCGAAATCTACGTTTGCATCATGGCACAACCGTCTTCTAAGAAAAGAAAAAAAAACTAGTTATGCGGGGCACGTCGATGTTGACATACTGGCTGACCAAACCAAGTTGTACAATTAGGCAATTTTTAATGTCGATTAAACAGCAATTTTTCATTTATAAGTAAAGGAATTCAAGGAATTTAACCATAACTCAAATAACATTCTTCAAATGTTCCAACAGTCTATATATAGCAGTGTGACCTTTTCATGACCTTTAAAAAGGATACAAGGCAAACAATAGAAAATCCATGTGTAGTACATCCATACTTTAGTGGCAAGATACAGAGGTAAAGGTATCACATTCATTATATTCTCATCAAAGAAAAACCTGAAAAAAACAAATAACTTTTCTCAATGCTCTGAAATATCTCTATCAAAGTACTACGTCACAATTATACACAAACTTACACAGGTTTGTTTGATCTTCTTGCAACTGGTCGATTCAAAATGATTTTAATAGCTGTTCAAACATTTGTTCAGTATTAGAAATAACACTGAAAGGATGATTTAGCAGGCTTCAAGTGACTTTAGTATAGATTTTACAGAGTTACATCTAAAAAATTTTGACTTGACATCTTCATAAAATCAAATTATAATTGATCAGTTACAAGAAAATTAGTTTAATCCTATACAAGTTTGAGTGTAAAATTTTTAACAATGTGGAAAAATATGTTTTATTTACCTAAGATTATTATATTTTCAAAATCTGCAAACTAAAGTCAATAGATTTTTCTTAAGTTTATAAACCTTTTATCCAACTTCAATATGTTTGCAACCTAAAAGGGGTGTGCAATGTAAAGTTGATTACAGAAAATAGGTACCTATTTTGCCTAACCCCCAAACATCACAAGACTATAAACCTTTTTTGTACTATGTGTGGAGCCAGTAAATAGAATATTTGGACTGTCAAATCCAAAATTGATGGTGGCAACTCTTCAAATACAGTACTGCAATACTCTTAAAATGTTCAAAATCAAACATTTCAAAAACCCTGTAAATTTTGACTGCAATTGCACAATGGTGTTGCCAATGACATTGACTGTCAACTGTGGGATTGATGGTAGACATCATCCAATCAAGATTGGTTGTGCATGCCTTATTGCATTAGAATAATAACCACAGGCTCATCCAATGCCTACTTTTTGTTATATGTCAAATATAAAAATGGTTATGGTCAAACACTTGATTGTTTTAAACAACAGTATCCCAAAAAATCATCTGAAGCATATAAACAGTATAGGAAATAGTTTATTACAAATATAGAAAAGAATTACTGTCTGCAGATTTGGTATCCTCCAAAGGCAAGCAGAGCTAATAGTATCTTCATGTAAACAGGTGCTGTCATTTCTGGAATGTAACCAACTACGAACAATGCTATAAATGGGAAGATCCACATCACTCGCTTTCGAAAGACCTTAAAGTATAAAAAATTTCATCATTATTATTTTTCCAAAGTTTTTAAATGAATTTTAACTAAGTATATGATGAATGATGTTTGAAATATGATGACTTTCTTAATCATTATTTTTTTTTATTAATTTATTTAATGAACTTATCTTCTAGATTTCATGGCAACATGATTAGTTATTTCGTACTCAACATAAAACAGAAAATGATTTTCATTTAATATAAAATGTCATGAAACAAAAATCTTACTTGAATATGAACATTTTTGTGATCTATGAATCAAGATAAAAGACTGATTTGATATGTAATGTTATTTCACCTTTAGTGTGAATAGAGTTCACATTTTAATTTTGTGTATCCTCGATAATCAACGGTATCATGTATGAAACATTTAAAAAAAATCTTGAATTATGCAGGGAAATTTACGTGGGGTCAAATTTTCACAATTTCTCATCTGCTGTGAACAAAGCAAAAATTAAACCCTCGCAAAAAAAACATATACAGTATATGTTAATTGCAAAATTAGCAAAAATAAAACCCTTGCAAAAATCTCACTATAATTTCACTTTAGCTATCTTTTTCATTTGTTAATAACTTCCTTTGTATTTGCTTGTGAGTATTATAATTGTAAAACTCTTTGGATGTGAAACCTATCTGTAGGCACTCTTTAATTCATCTTATGGGAGGCACATTAATCCCCATTGCAGGCTTTGTACACTGTACAGTCTCTAATATAAATTTCTCTTGTTTATAAACTTTACTGCCATGCTCATATACATGTTTGCACGTTGTTTATTGTTTTATTATATGTCATGTATGTGTCTAGTACCTGTATTAACAGCTCATCAGAGCTTATGTTATTTTATATATATTTTGCCAACTTTCAATAAATTTTAAATGACTTCACTTGATTTATGTTAAATTTGGACATGTTTATTACATACCTTGTCTGAAGTATATCTTGTAAGACAGTTAGATTTCCCTGATCCTCTCATTTCACTAATCTGTCTTAACCTTTTCACTAGATTTGGCAGTTGAGCTGCAACTGCCATATCTATTGGTGTCTGTCCCTGTAAGAGTCCAAAGAAAAAATTATCTGAGAAATTTGTATTATTAAAGGCAACACATTTTCCATCAGGCATGTCCAGCTGAACAAAGATATTTTTAATAAAGATAATATTTTTATTATCATTAACAAATATTTATCAATTCTTATGACTGTGACATTATCAATACACAGTGCCCAAGGATAACATTGTTATAAAAAGATAACCAATTACAGAATGCATTTTCCATTAAAAATAACTCATCCATTTTATGAATAAAACACAATCGTTTCTTCTTTACATAATAAGAATTCCATCGGTAAAAAAATACCCTGGTAAATCATGCATTGTAAAATTCTGTTCAATGGTTGTGACCATCTTAATTTCCCATACAAAGAAAAAAAGTTTTATTTGAGTTCATTTTTAAAACAAGTTTCAAAAGTTTTATGAGGTCCATCAAAATGATTTCCTTCAGACTTTAGAATTTCTGAAGTGTAGTTAACCAAGCCAAGGAAATGATATGACATGACAGATAAGGCTCTGAAGGGAAAAAATATTTAACTGGTGGTCTCACCTTGTGATTTGATACATTTATTTCAGCTTTGGCATCTAATAAAAGCTTGGCAGCACATGTGTTTCCTGTCAGACAAGCGTAGTGTAATGGTGTGTTACCAAGTGCATTATCTGTCTTGTTGACTGCTGCTCCAAAGGTCAACAACATGCGTGTTGGGTCATACCTGAAATATAAGGCAGCTTTTATACAAATAATAAATGCATAATAATAAATCGAAAAAAAAATAACTAATTAGGTAAATTCATTCTGTTCAGTACAAGAACACAAAATAAAATTGCAAGAATTTGAAGATAATGGGTCCTCCACCAAGGGCAATGTCATTTTTTGTCAAAGGTATTTGTAAATGCAGAGTTTTCTCCTTCAAGTTACCACATTTGAGACAGACAAAAGGATTAATGGTATTGCATTTGAACAATTGGAAAATTTGATATAAACACTATTCCAGCAGTTAATGAAAATACATGTTCCATTAAAAAAGGCATTATAAATCACATTAGTTGACTTAAACGAATAAGAAACATAGTTCAGTTATCTTCCTAACCAATACAAATCAGTTTGTCTATCTTTTGTTCTTAGTGAAATTGGAGGCCAATTTATTATCAATCTTAGTTGATTAAAGATATTGTAGGATATCTGCAAAATATCAAATAAAATGTTCATGTAATACAATGAAAAAAACCATTTCTGTACATAACAATAACAAATTGTTAGAATGTTGTACATGTACTTTCATTTTGTTACATTTATAATATAAATTTGTACATTTGTACTTGCCGAAATGTTCACCAATACACAATGGTAATAATTTGAAAATTATCTGACATGAAAATTTTCAAAAAAAATAATCAAAACAAATTTTACAAAATGGGTGATAAAATATTATAATTCTGTTGAACATGTTGAATGGTAGTGATTTTTTTATTACCTTTGAGAAATCTAATATCATTACATACCCAAAAACTCTGTGACAGGCATACATCAAAGGTGTCATTCCATTTTTATCTATCATATCCACATCATTACCCTTGGCAATTAAATATGCCACAATGGCTGTGTGACCAAACTGTGCCGCCAAGTGAATACACCTACAACCTTTAAAATATGTATACAGTAGCTATTAATTATACAATGATGTATGTTTTGTTGCTGAAGTAAGAATCTATGCTGTATTATTTGTAGAAAGGTAGGCATCTTATAGGAAAAAAGTTTTTTTATTTAAATTTTACCATAACAGGTGTCACTAAAATGCTTTTATGCATATAAAAATAAGGAGTTGTGATATGATTGTCAATAAGACAACTATTCACCAGAGGTAAAATAATATGCAATTAGAGATTAGAGGCCACAGCATGGCCTTCAACAATGACAAAAAAACCATACTGTATAGACGGCCTTTTCTTCTACAGTTGATTTTTTTTTCTGCAATCCATTTCAAAAACAAAACAAAAGTACAAACCTTCTCCATCTAGTATGGTAGGATCAGCTCCATATGACATGAGAAGAACAACTGTAGATAAATGACCTTGTCTGAAATAAACAGCAATTCTTAATTTCAATAAACAGCTAAAGTTATATATTCATGAAATACTTTGAATAGATTATTTCGCGACATTTTTCTATATTTAAGTCTATGAAATGGGGTAAGGATAACAAAACAATTTATTAAGCTGATTCAATCTGATCTTTTTGTTTGGATTGTTTTTTTTTTATTTTGAAACATTCAAATAATTCTCTAATAATTCTGTAACCATGACAGATCTTCTCCAACTTTCAACAAAGACATATTCTTTCTAACAACATAGTCACAGTTTTGGATGTCGGTTATATGATAAATTAAACTCAATTACCGGAAGCTTGAAAACTGCACGATTCAAGCAGTTTAAAAGAAGACAGAGTAACTTTCAAATCAAGTTAGTCTGGCAAATTATACATGACTCTCTAAACAAGAATGGGTTCATATGGATTTTACACAAAACGGTATTGCAACTGTGAAGTTTTTAACAAAGAACTAGATAACTCGTTACTAGCCTGGCGTTATGATATCGCCAGGGCAATTCTGTAGTTATAAATATAATATGTGCAAATTTTTTTCTTTTCATGCATGAGAAGACATATTATACCTTAAATACAGGTGACCTTTATTATAGGTTAAACAGTTTTCTGTACTTTCATATCTGGTATAAATCAAAGAAATTTCTCCTAATCCTAATTAAGATTCTGAAATGACAAATTCTGAAATTTACAGGAATTTAACTGAAGTGTAAAAAGCTGTATATATACCTTGTAGCCCAGTGTAGTGAAGTTGAGTTAAGATCTCCACCAAATCTATCCACTACAGCCCCTTTATCTATCAGATATCTGCAATTACAGAAAATATTTAAAACATCAATTCATGCCTTGAAATAAAATGCATTAAAGGCATTACAACATTTTTTGAGGTTGGAAACATTTATTATTAACAGTTTTCACAATAACCTTTGTAGCAACAGGCCCAATGCTCACTTTTGGGAAATTATGTATAGATTCTATTGGCCTGTACTAGAAATACTGACAGGGCCAATAGTAATTTCACAAGCCTTAGCTGGTGGGCCTGCTGTTGAGGGTGAAGTCTGTTAATATTTTCATCGTCACACATTGAAAAATAATTTAGAAGTAATACAGTAGTAGTACCCTTGTACCTTACCTATGTAAATGATCCAGTTAAGATTGGAGTTTATTCTGCATTCAAAATGTAAAATAGGTACAGTGGATCTTGTCTCCTGAACACCACTTTCTATAGTGTTGTGTGTTGATATGTATTAAGGATTTTAACATGAAATGTGAGTAACAGGGTAAAATTTTGGTGTTAAATTGATATTACATATATTCACAAGTGCAGTGGTTTCATATGGCAGCATTTCTGGTTTACACTACAGTCCTTTTTGCAGAAAGAAGTCCATAACTTTTTGTTATTATACTGCATCTTGTTTACAATATAAAGAGAAAGAGATAAAGAGAACATTGATACACTCGTACATGCCCATGGAGTTTCCCTTTTGTATCACATCATTTGTAACACATTTAGTGATGTTGTTTTGAAAGAAAAGTCTGAAAAAAATATTGTCACTATAAATGAAGATAAATTGAAAATATATCTAATAAAAGACCCAAACATGTCAAAATGTTAACCAATATGAATAAGAACCAAATGCCTGATTTATGATAAAACAACAAACAACAAACAAAAAACAAATATGACAGACAGCAACCACCATCCTGTTTGTCATGTTCGAAGTAAAAGAATTTATACATACCTGATGATGTCAATTCTATTATTGATAGAAGCCCAGTGTAATAGACTGACATTTTCTTTGTCCATCTCATTCACATCATATCCCCCTTCGACCAACTCCTGAACTCTGCCAAATGCACCATATTGTACAGCTTTAACAATCCCATAATTCCTGGCATCTTCTTGACCCTGACCTTGCTGGTCTGTTGTTGCTGGCTGGAGAGGCACTGCAGAGTCTACCCTATTTAAACCATTGTCACCCTCCTACAACGAATGACAAAAAGTACTTAATAAGAAATGTTATGGGATACATATTGATTTATTTTCACAAGCAAACTTAAATAAAGTTTTCATTTCAAATAAGTTGAAAAAAAGTGAGAAATTTAAATGTTAGCTTTTTATCTTTAATTTAGTGTTATTATCATACTGATAATATATTTTTGCTGCAAAGAACTAAGTAAAGTTACTTTTGCAAACATGTGGAATTAAGGGAATTGAGCATTTGTTTGTGTTTCAAGGTAGTAATTTGTGAATAAAAAGTATGTATTTGTGGTGGTAAATGAATAAAGAAACAAATGATGTATGGTTTATCTGCCTGACAATAGATCTTTCATAATCTCTAGACAGAAACTTGCCACCCAAAGTGACAGTTTGTGAAGGCAATTTTTATCTTTTTTATATATACTGTCCTCTGACTACATACCACCAAGGCAGGTCCTAAAAAGGCTGTCAGATGTCAGAGCAATCTTGGCCTAAACAATACCCCTCTCTATCAGACTTTGTTTAGACGGAGAGTGTAAGACCTGTATATGATAGCAACCTGTGGGTATTTCATCAGGTCATCATTGGAAACCAACTTTTGGAGTTTATCCCCATGGAATTATGACATGAATGGTGTCAGACCCCCAACCCTAAGAAGAGTGCATTTCAGCAGAATAATATAAAGGCAGACTGCACTGGGTTCTAAAATTTGTCAGCAGGAAAATTTTAAACATCAGATTTTTGTCACCATGCAGTTCCACAACATTGTGTCAAGGCCCCCCTTTTTCAGACATGCATCATGTTTTGTTAATCCTTAATTTAGAAGGCAGTTTAAATTGTTCATGGATGTTGCATGCATGACTGACTGTAGATCAATAATAAGTAAGGCTATATGTAGATATAAGAAGATGTGGTATGAGTGCCAATGAGACAACTCTCCATCCAAGTCAAAATTTATAAAAGTAAACCATTATAGGTCACAGTACGGTCTTCAACACGGAGCCTTGGCTCACACCAAACAGTAAGCTATAAAGGGCCCCAAAAATTACTAGTGTAAAACCATTCAAACGGGAAAACCAACTGTCTAATCTATATCAAAAACGAGAAACGAAAAACACTTATGAACCACATCAACAAACGACAACCACTGAACATCAGATTCCTGACTTAGGACAGGTGCATACAAATGCAGCGGGTTTAAACGTTTTAATGGTACCAAACCTTCACCCTTTTTCTGAAACAATAGTGTAACATCACAACATAGAAAGACACACTATAAAATATCAACTGAAATAGCTTAACTCAATCAAAGGACATATTAACACCATTGAACATACACTGAACAAATAAATTTGACCTATGATACAATGTAAATACAAAATAGATAAACTAAGGGAAGAATAATATAAGTAACATGTTATATCAGTATGAAATGTTCAACAATTAAAGAAAAACAATATGCTCGAACAAAAATATCAGCCATTTGCAATAACTTTAAACGCGGGTAAATGAAAATAATTTTGTTGTTAGGTATACATGTACAGTTCTAAAAGAGAAAGGGAATATTTTTACAAAATAAATAATTTTGATGTTCATAGTACGAAGTGAAAATTTATAGTAATATCAAACACTTATCAAAGCTGGTATATAGACCAGATATAACCCTGAATAACATTAAATAACAAACTAGAGGCTCTCAAGAGCCTGTGTCGCTCACCTGTATTTACTGATGCTTTGGAAATCATGTAAAATAAGGTTAAAATCATAATTAATAGTATTAGATATTATAATGATAACTAAGATAATAACAAAAAACTGCAATTTTTGTAAAATTACTAACTCAGGGGCAGTAACCCAACAATGGGTTGTCGGATTCGTCTGAAAATTTCAGGGCAGATAAATCTAAATCTGATGAACATTTTTGCCACCTGTCAGATTTGCTCTAAATGCTTGAGTTTCAGAGATATAAACTAAAAACTGCATTTTACCCCTATGTTCTATTTTTAACCAAGTCTGCCATGATGGTTGGATGGCGGGGTCATCGGATAAATTTTTAAACTAGATACCCTAATAATGAATATGGCCAAGTATGGTTAAATTTGTCTCAGTAGTTTCAGAGAAGAAGATTTTTGTAAAAGATTACAAAAATTTACGAAAAATTGTTAAAAATTGACTATTAAGGGCAATAACTGCTAAAGGGGTCGACTGACAATTTTGGTCATCACAGCTTATTTGTAGATCTTACTTTGCTAACATTATTGCTGTTTACAGTTTATCTCTATCTATAATAATATTCAAGATAATAACCAAAAACTGCAAAATTTCCTTAAAATTACCAATTCAGAGGCAGCAACCCAATAACAGGTTGTCAGATTTGTCTGAAAATTTCAGGGCAGATAGATCTTGACCTGATAATCAGTTTTACCGTTGGCAGATTTACTCTAAATGCTTTGATTTCAGAGATATAAGCCAAAATCTACATTTTACCCCTATGTTCTATTATTGGCCATGGCGAACATCTTGGTTGGTTGGCGGGGTCATCGGACACATTTTTTAAACTAGATACCCTAATGATGATTGTGGCCAAGTTTGGTTAAATTTGGCCCAATGGTTTCAGAGGAGAAGATTTTTGTAAAAAGCTAACGACGACGGACGACGGACGCCAAGTGATGAGAAAAGCTCACTTGGCCCTTTGGGCCAGGTGAGCTAAAAAGCAATACAATTAGTATCAACAGGTCAAATAAACAAGAAAGTACGATTTGAGAGTACTCGCAGTTACTGACAGCTAGTTAGAAGCCAAAACAATTTATAATAAAAAATCATGCATCAGAGACTAAAGTCAACTAAAACACATCCCTGTATTTAAATAAATGTTCCTTATAAAATGAGATGTAGTAAAATGATGATGCTCATCAATGTCATCATGTTGATCAATAACCATTCAAAAAGCTAGGCCTTCTGAACTTTATTAGCAAGCAAAACAAAACATTGGCTTTGTCTATATTGAAACCAGAGTTGATACATTTTTCAATGAAGAAATTGCAATGCTATAAGGTCTAAATTAAAATTTATAGAATTATTTTAAAGATCAAAACATAACAGTATCTTTTGTGATAATCTAACTGTAATTATTTTCGATTGTCCCAGGATTGTCAAGGAGACCTGGGGACCAACAATGCACATTTGGTGCAATGATTTGTTCATTTAGCCATTTTGATATTTTCTTTGGCCCTGAATGTCTGATGTCTGACAGTTATTTACTTCTGAAGGGATCACATTAAATGATAGAAAGTTGGATCATCAGAAGCAAATTTAGGGTGACTTTTTATAAGTCCCACTCCTAACATTGCCTTGGTTGGCCCCCCTTTTTTAAATCTAAGATCTGCAACTGTCAATTTTGGTAGAACCACTAGTCCAAATAATTATGATGTTTTGTACGGCTTTTTGATAATTTTTTTTGGATGCCTTCCTTCAAGGCGTAACAGCAAAAATCAAAAATAGCCTTTCTAGACGGCATAATTATTTGGACTAGTAGAACCACTAACATCATAAAGCCAGAGTAGATCCTTACAATTCAATATTGTCAATAGACCATTTAATCAGAAAATAGTATACTAGACTATTCAACCTATATAAAAAAATGTCTGATAGGGGCCCAAATAGATCAGATAAAAATAAATGTGGATAGTGTCCACATGTGGACACAGATGATGCCCCCGCTTGCATATAGTTATAAAGGGACATAACTGAAGAACAGTAAAAGTGACGCTACCCAAATTTGAACTTGATCTGAGTTTTGTGGTAATAAGCATTGTGTGTAAGTCTCATAACATTTGGTTGAGGCTAACTTTAGAGAACAGAAATTAAAAATTCAGCAATTTTTCTATTTGTAAACACGCAGAACTCTAGAACGGTTGCGTATAAGTTTTACAACATTTGGTTGAGACAAACTAAAAAATTCAGCAATTTTTATGTTTATAAAGGGACATAACTCTAGAATGGTAAAAGTGTTGCCACCTAATTTCGTACTTAATCTGTATTATGTAGTAATAAGAATTGTGTATAAGTTTCATAACATTTGGTTGAGGCAAACTCAAGTTAGAGAACTGAAACAAAAAAATTGTACTTGATCCTTACTGAGTTTTGTGGTAATGAATATTGTGTATAGGTTTCATAATGTTTGGCTGGGGAAAACTTCAGTTACAGAATGGAAACTAAAATATTTTGCAATCTTTCTATTTATAAAGGGGCATAACTCAATAATGGTTAAAGTGACACTACCCAAATTCAACTTGATCTGTGTTTTATCAGTGGAAGTCAAAATTAAACATTGCATTGTATAAAGCATTGATTGTAGTTGATTCAACTATAATCATGGTCAAAGGAAGATAACTCCAATTTTAAAAATATATTATATAAACTTGATATTTAGAAGAAAATAAAAATTTTGCAATTTTTCCTTTTATAAAGGGGCATAACTCTAGATCGGTTAAAGTGACACCACCAAAATTCAATCTTGGTCTGTGTTTTGTGGTAATAAGCATTGTGTATAAGTTTCATAACATTTGGTTGAGGCAAACTCAAGTTAGAGAACGGAAACCAATTTCGGGACGTACGGACGGACGTACGTACGTACGTCCGTACGTACAGACGGACAAGGGTAAAACTTAATGCCCCCTCCGCTACGGCGGGGGCATAAAAATTATAGAAGCAGGATAGTGAATCACGTCAGGGCATGTAGAATTACCTCAGGGGAGTAAGGGGCGTCATGGTTACGCTACGGTATGTGCTCTTATAGAGCTTCTATTTTTCTTCCATGTATAAATTTTCAAATTATGTTCACTTTGGGTCGCTGTTTTTTTTTATATTTGGTTACTACCTGTTGGTAAAGGGGCTGTATTGGATTACAAGAGGGGTCGACGTCTGGTTCCATCATTTCGAAAGACAATTTTACCAGGAAGTACAAATTTGTATATAAAGTTTGGGACCAAACGGGAGTGGTCACGTATAAAATCCGGAAATGGATGTGAACGAGTGACGGGAATCTGACACACTGTGATCTGACATAATTCTTTTTTACTGAAACAAATGTATATGAATATTGTCAGAGACATATGATATCAATATAACTGTGGTCTTATGAATCTCTTATACTGTGGATAAAAAACATTCTCAAAGATAACAGACTGATATAGTAAACAATCATATCATTTCCACCATTCAGCTTAAGGCCTCCTGTGAACATTTGAAGATCACTTTTATCAAGGACGTATGTTAGTTATACGTCCTTGCTTCTATGTATTAGTAACATAAACTATTAAAAAAAGTACAATATCGTTTTCATTTCGGCTTCTGGTAAGTCACGGTTCAACAACCAATTTATCAGTGCTTTTATAACTAGTTCCTTAACTACTCAGGATCAAAGAACTTGTCATCAACCTTTGTAATAAGGGAGCTACCATTTGATTTTTAGGGGGGGGGGCTAGGGTGAAATTTGAAAAAAAATAGGCAGGACAGGAATGATTTTGAGGATAAGACACTTTGCAAAAAAAAGGCAGGATGACAGTTTATGTAAAAAAAAGTCAGGATAAACTAAAAAAAAAAGGCAGGAACGAATAGAGTGAAAAACAAAAAGGCAGGACAGAGATTACAACTAAAAAAAAATGCAGGACAATTTTTTTCATCCTAGCCCCTTTTAACACGGGAAACTCTCAGTGACACAAGACTTTACGACAAAAGGGACGATTTTTCATTTCCTATTGTTAATTTTCCTATTTGAGGCTGTGATGTTCCTTTGGTCCCATCTTACGGTGTTTATGTATCCCAAATCGAACTTTGCTATGCCAATGTCTCTAGTTATGTTTTGGATTTTATGAACGTAACCTATGCATTACTGGTTAATTAGTAAGTCAAGGATTTCCGGCGTTACCACAAATTACTTAAAACCTTTACTAAATTCTTTCATAGATTAAATTGGTTTATATAGTTTGTTCTTCTATTGTACTGTTATGGAGGCGGGGCACCTGCAAACATGGTTACCCCGCCACATTCTGCACGTGCCTGTCCCAAGTCGGGAGCCTGTAATTTAGTGGTTGTATAACATATTTGTTTTCGTTTATTGTTTTGTACATAAATCAGGCCATTATATTTGTTTCGTTTGAATTGTTTTACATTTGCCATTTCTGGGCTTTTTATAACTTGCTATATATGTCATGGGTTTTGCTCATTGTTGAATACCGTACGGTGACCTATATAGTTGCATATAGTTGCCATATAGACTTCTACCTCAGTTGCTCTCTGATGGAGAGTTGTCTCATTGGCAATCATGCCACATCTTCCTATTGTAATGTTATATCTATAATTGTGTACACCAGACGTGCGCTTCGTCTACTGACTAAAGACTCACCAATGATGCTCGAAATTCCGTAAGGTTTTCCCAAATACAGTTAAGTTAATATATTTTTTGGGTAGAACATCTGTAGCATTTCGAACAATGATATATCACATTTCGAAAATAGTTAGAAATTAATAAAAATGTTAATGATACGCCCATCTAAAAGATTAGATACAAACTTCAAGTACTCGCTTTAGCGTTAAGCGTACGTACCGGCCTGGGGGAAAATAGCAAACAATGCAAGAATGATATGATGTAATTACTACGAGGAACTTCTTGAAAAATGAAATTATAAATTCCGGTACGTCCAAGGCCGTTCGCTCCAAAGAAAGTAAAAAACGATAGACAATTCGCCGTTTCAGAACCATGGATGATCTCATTGTTCGTACCCAAAATGAAAACAACGTCACGTCATTGGTTGAATATTAATTTTTTTGACGTTGTAAGCCAATCATAGCATTTTGATGTACGCTTTTGAAAATACTATTCAGAATGCATTAGATTTTGAAACGGCGAATTAAGTCATCACAACATCCCATCTGAGCATTTATATGCTCCTACTATGATTGCTAACGAAGAAACTCTTCACCAGATACCAAAGGAGGGAGTAACTGTTATAGTCAATGGTCGTATGGTCTTCAACAGTGAAAAAAAAAATCAACAAACAAAAACAAATATAACACCCAGCAACCAACAACACACGAACCACTGGATTGCGGGCCTCTGACATGGGACAAGCACAGGTATAAGAAAACGTTTGTGATCGCTCAACCCTCACCTAACGTGGGACAGTGATAACAATTAGTTGATAAGGATTTCACTCATTAGTAGGTAAGTAAGTAAAATTTCATTTATATTCGGCATATTGACAAACATTTGAACAAATATGAAAGCATATACAGTAATAAATTAAACAAAGCATGCAGTATGTCAATTAGTAGTTATAAAAGCAACACAACGGTAGTAATAAATTATATGTATATTATATGAAAGTATCAGTTCTGGGGCGTTCTTAATCTGATTATCACATAGAAATTCAGACAGCACACCGCATAACCATTGAGACAGAAGAAATGCCTACAAGTAGAGGCCAGCATATAAAAAATATGAATTATTTTATTAAAGTATTTTGTATGATGTATGCCAGCGCCCCTATGTGTTACGACTGCGAGATGAATAGCTAGCATAATGAAACAAAAACAAAAATGAAATTACAATACAGGCTATATATAGTTTGAAACATGAAATGCATCAACATGTATCAAATTACCTGCAAGCAGAGCAACAGCTAGCAGTCGTGAGTCAGAACCACTCTAGGACCGGCGAACAAGACTTCTACAGTGTGTGAAGCTGTTTTCACCACTATTTATTTGACTAATAAAACAACACAAACATATAAAAATCAAATAGCAAAGATACGATAGTTTAAACAAAAGCAAAGGTTATTATTTTTTTTTAGCTGAATACAGATGCGCTTGCTCCACTTAATGGAAAATATTTAAATAATTTCTTTTAATTTTGCTGCTATTAAAGTTAGGTTAATCTCAACCGACCAACATTGTCATTATTCTGTAAGTCAAGATATGAAGCAGACAATGAAAAAATTCAGAGACGTATATACACAGGTATTTCACATCCAATCTTTTATGGTAGTATTCTTTACAAAGCACAAAAATGTCGGCATTCACCTCAAAAGCTAACCGACTTATTCAGAAGGGATATAGTTACGATACTGTTGTCAGATCATTAAGGATGGCATATTTTGGTATTAATATTGATTCACTCATAGGGTCTTTGCATCGGAAATAAACTAATTTATTCTAAGACTAGTTGTTGGCATGATACGGGTTATGTTCTTCTCATATATTTTATGATGGTATGATACTAAACCCCTAACGGGAGGGATTGTGCTTGATTTTCATCTGCTGAAGACATAATCTTTCAATCAGTTTAATTGAGGTCTGGAGCTGACATGTCAGTAACTGCTAGTAGTCCTTTGTTAATTTATTTATCATTGTCATTTTTCTTCATTTCTTTTGTTACCTATTCTGACATTGGACTCGAACTTCTTTTAAACTGAGTTTTACTGTGCGTATTGCTGTGCGTTTCTTTATTCTACACTGGCTAGATGTATAGGGGGAGGGTTGAGATTTCACAAAACATGTTTAACCCCTCCGCATTTTTGCGCCTGTCCCAAGTCAGGAGCCTCTGGCCTTTGTTAGTCTTGTATGTTTTTTTTTTAATTTTAGTTCATTTATATGTTTTGGAGTTTAGTATGACGTCCATTTTCACTGTACTAGTACACATGCATTTTTATTTAGGGGCCAGCTGAGGCCCACCTCCGGGTGCAGGATTTTCTCGCTGCATTGAAGCCCCATTGGTGGCCTTCGGCTGTTATCTGCTCTTTGGTCGATTTGTTGTCTCTTTGACATATTCCCCATTTCCATTCTCAATTTTACACATATGTCTCTGATGAATTGTATCTGCAGTATCCTTTATTTCGAACTCAATGGGATAAACATGCTATCGTTACCAAACTAAGCATTGTTCAGTGGGAGGACACTATCAATATGTAATGGACCGTAAATTACAAAAGCATAATGCTTGCTTCTTTTTGTTCATCTTCAACAAATACAGCAGATTTAGAGGGACAAGAGGCCCGGGCCCCCTTATGGAGCTACATGTATAGTTAACATAGGCTTCTTTACAAGTTCTACTCCTAACGTTGTCTAGTTTTGGACCCATCTTTTTTAAATTCCTGGATCCGCATCTGCACAGGAACAAGTCCACTACAGAATGTGAACACAGTTTGTCCACATTGTAATGTAGACTGCACAGTTCAAAACACTCCCACCAAACGTTTTATTACAAAGTATATAGGATTCTAATAAGAAACTTCTTCGTTGTTCATACTTTTTTTATGAAACAACTATGGGGCTAGTTCTTTCAATCTGTTTAGAATTAGGAATACTTCTATAAAGGGAAGAACAGTTAAATATTATTGCACGAGGACATGAACTTTGTGTACTCTATCAGATCATTGTGTCTTTTGGAATTAAAACTATTGTTCTAATACTGCCCTTATGTATTGCCTCACAATCTAGGATGTATAGCCGGCGTCAATATGCACAAATGTATTGTGACAAATTTGGGTTTATATATATATTTAAAAGCGTGTTTTTCATAGAAATCTCGTTCATGTTCCATAGTTTTAGCAAGAATGTGTAACACTTAAGTACTTAGTAACTATACGAATCATTGGTTTGGGCAAAAAAATCCACAAAAAGGGATAAAAAATGGTCCTTGCCTTATTCTTATAAATAACGGAGACGACTGACGCTGTCTGTCATTTGGCTCAATTATTTTGTAGATCTTGTCCTACAGATGATATTTGCAATCTATCGCGAGTCAGTTCACATTGGTCCTTTGGATAAGTGAGCTTGTTTTTTCTTTGTTGACATAGTTGTTTGTTTTAAAGTGATTAAGATTATAACACAATGTTGACTGCTGTACCCCAATGTTTGACATTTTTACCCATTATGCATGTCTGCTTGTTTTGTT